AAAAAAAAAAAAAAACTAATACGAATCAAAAATGTTGTAGTACTTTGTACACCAGAGATACATTACCTAGATTTTTCAGAAGCCATCTCACATCGTTACAGCTGGTAAAAAAAGGCACTTTTTTTCAACGGTAAACACCGCTGTGTCCATCATGCTCTCTTCGATTCGCCTCTTCCGCGTCAACCTGCTTCGCGCGTGTACGGTACGATACATCTATACTCGCTATCTGCGTAAGAGTATAAGTACAGGGTGCGCAAACGCGAGAGGACGCGGAATTCTTCCTCGCGGCGGACGATCCCACGGGGATGCGGGAGGATTTATTACACATCTGGCACGAGCTCGTGGCAGCAAATTCAATGGGACTCGTGGCATTTTTTTTTTTTTTTCCCCAAATAGCCAATTGTTTTTGATTTTTCGTCTCTGCGACTGATCGAGCTTCATTGTGCGTTCTTGGTTCTTTTAATAGTACGTTTTGCATAATGTGTACAAAAACATGTACGCACGCAGGCTAAGGGCATGTATCACAGTGCATTGACGTGAATTGACAACGAGTTGTCGCAAGAAAGAGAGAAAGGAGGGATCCAGCGAGTCTCTGGTAATTTGCCTCGAGAAGCCTTTGGGTTTAACGCAAAGAAAACTAAAGAAATCATGCAGGAGCCAAGATGTATACGACTGCTAAGGACTGCGTTACTCTTAACGTTGTAGCCTTTTTTCTCACGATTACAGCGTTTGTTATGGCTTAATAAAAATAGCAAGTAATCAATCATTGAAACTAGATATGCTAGAAATCTAGTAAGTAAATTAAAAATCATGATTATTTGTAAAGATATACATTACCGTTAAGTGTACAGTATTTAATAAAAATAATTAAAAAATGTTCTTAGTTGCTTGCAATTATTTTTATTTACTTTTAAAATATTTACAGTATTTAATTGTGAAAATTTTTAATTACTCGCTGGAATAAAATTCCACAAAAATTATATTTTTTGCCAGATGTATTTAGTGATTATTCTATGCAACCAAGTTTTTCTACAATTGTTACGGCTTTGTGAGCTTCCATTAAATTATTTTACATTCTACTCATTTCTTGTTAAATATTGATACTATACAAAAAAAAATCTATCAAACTATAATCAGAAAGACGTAATTTTTATTTCATCCACAATAAACGACATTAGCGTGGAAACTGATACAATACCCAATCGCACCAACGCCGGGTGTAGTAACAAATAACCCGAGAACACAGAGGCCACAAAGTAGAGACAGAGAGGAGGAAGAAAGGGACGCATATAATGTCATAGATTCGCGAATAGGTGCTCTCTCGTAGCCCCTACACCTCGCAACAAGGAGGTAAAATGGTAGACGTTTGTCCTTCGAAGGGTAGAAAAGGGCAAAGATCGCGCGAACGAGCCAATTTTCTCGAAACTTGCCTCCATTGCCGTTCCTCCTCCTTTTCCTCGACTGACAGTCAAGTCCGAAGCTCTCTCTCTCTCTCGTATACTGTTGGGTAAGCAATTTTCTTATCGGGTCCGTCATTTCCGGTCATTCATCTCACGGCTTGTACCGAAGCGAGGGAGGGACATTGATTAAGGGGCGTCGCTTTAAGTTGCGAAATAGCACTGTGCTATCCACGGACTTTCTTCCTTGCACCCCCCCCCCC